CTGAAACATAGAAATTTTTTTATTGCAATACAAAATGATGTTGCACAGTTTTTAGGAATGTATGGACTTACGTCATCAATTCCAATCGGTGTGTGAATATTTAAATTTTATATTTTCTGTAATATTGCAGTTTCACAAAAAAGAAGACCTGTGTTATCGTTCGCTTTACTTAAGGAATGGTTCTCAAATTCAGGAAGTTCATTATTTTTGATTGAAAGTGTTTATTAAATATATTAGCTATTGTCTTTTTGTTGAGATATATCACTGCTGCGAAGAGGAAAAAAAGCCTCTAAAGCAAAAGAAGACTTGTCTAAATTTCATACTTTGAAGTCATTTCTTTAGGTACCAAAGAAAAAGTTTGTAGTGTCAGAGGACATTTATGGTTAAATTATCGTGTTTGTCTTGTAACAAATTGATATTCAAGTTTAATTTTTTTGAATTAACATATGAAAAAAAGTTTTGTTTTTTATCTGAATAATTAATGACAGTTCTTTCTTATTTTTCCTATTTTTAAATTTTTGCATATTTTTTTTCTCTTTTATGTGTTGTTGTGTTTGACATCCTAGATACTATACAAAATATCTTTGTACCATGTACAATGTTTATCCTGAATAAGTTTTTTTGTATATAAGTCAAACTATTTTGGTGCATTAATTTTTTGCTTGTTTAGTGCTTTAAGAGAAATTTTTAATTGACATGCAATTTTTGCTATTCATTCTATTCAATATTTTTTATGTTGACCTTATTTTTCCAGATTCCAAGGGATGTGCATTAGTATAAAAAAAACTAGCTTAAACAAATAATAATAAATTGAGTTACTATTTGAATATTGTTTTTAGTAAATAGATATAAGTAATTATTAAGCAAAATTATCAATAAACTATTATTAAATCAATTTATATAAAGGGTTAATCATTTTGTAAATGGAAAAAACAACAGAAACATATTGAGCTATAACTTCAAAAAAAATTAATTACCTAAAATAAATTACCTAAAAACTTTTGCTAATACAATAAAAATAAATTACCTGTATTTTAAAAATTTACTTAAAATATACAAGATTTTTAAATGTAGTGAAAACTTAAGTTATTTTTACTGTATTTGTAATAATTCACAATATTTTTTCCATTTTGCATGTACTTTTTTCATTTCAGCTTTATAAAACATAAAGTTTTTACCGGAACTAGATCAAGCTTGTGAAACAGATTGTTTTTTTAATATGCTTATTTTGGAAGTAAAACAGTAGTCATCTATTTGAAGCCAGTTAAATTATATGGCCAAATGGATTACAAATTATAGTTTTATTTTTCGTCACCAATAACTATTATGCTTGGTTGATCCATATTTTGTATTAGTTGGTTAAGATCATGTGATTAAGAGTGAACAATAGAAGAATGAACTTGTAGCTTTTTAAAGCTACAATAGTTAATAAACTGTATACAATAGTTAATAAACTACAATAAACTGATAGTTCAATAAAGTTCTGTAGTTTGCATTGATTATAGTTTATCTCAAAATCATCCTTGAATTCTCCAAAAATTTCATACAAGTAGATGTTGAGCAGTTCTTTACCATAGAAATTATCATTCTGTGCAAGCCTAGATTCTTTGATTTTACTGAGCAAGCAGTTTTTGAGAATAGATCCTTATACATTTTATGAATATTCAAGGCATCTACTAGTAATTTTGTTTATGAGAACAAACACAAAAAGAATGTGTACCACTTATACCTATGATACAAAAATGACACAAAAGTTTTTTTTGTTTATGGATGTTCTTTCCCATACTTACATAATCTTTTTTCCAGGCATAGTTCAACATAAATCACTTAAGTCATAAAACATTTTAACAAAATCTTTTACATCTTTAAGACTTTACCTTTTCACCACGGAGAAATAGCTAATAATGTTTTTTTCATTAAAAATCTGTCTAGCCATCTTTGCCTGGTATTCCTTCAAAGTTATTTTTTACTTCTGATATCAATCAACTTGGTGGGGATATTTGACTAACTTAGTAAGAAGTTGAACAATAGTCCCTTTATCATAATAGATAGCTTTCTCTTTTATCTTATAATTTCATTTAATAATGTTTCCAACTTCCTTTTTAATCTTATCTGTTTCATAACAAACCTTTGAGGGAATTCAAGAAATCAGAGGTGATTTTCAATTTTTCTAGTTAATGTTATTTACCATTTTGTTGATGTGTGCAACTATTCACTTTCCTTCTGAGATGATGTTTTGAAGATTTTGAGTGAAATTATAAAGGAGATATATTAAATTTTCAAGATCTTTGTTAATCTTCTTTTATATATTTTGAATGATGATTTTACAAAATCCACAAATCAAATTATGAAATCATATTTAAACTACTTCTAATCATGACTTGTGACTACTTCTAATCATGACTTCTAATCATGACTTCTAATCATGGTTTGTGATTCTTCTTTTCTACTTAATTTTAGAATTAGTTCAAACCTTTTTAGATTTTATCTTTATATGATGTTTTGCACTTGTAAACATTTTTACACATCAAGTTGTTTTTACACATCAAGTACATCAAGTTGTTAATTTGTTAAAATTCCACTAAAATTTTACTAATTATTGTGGCTCTATAAGTTTTTAAAAACTATATAATGGCCAAAATCTAATATACAGATACACACCAGATGAACATCACACTTTTTATATATTTACACACTTGTTATATAAAAACAAAACTTTTCAGCAGTTAAGATCATTATTTTTTATATATCTAATGAGTTTCTTAAATATAACATACATATATTTGTTGTTTTTTTTCTAAAGAGTCTATAAACCAAATTTAATACTTAATAAGAATTCTTTTAGTTTTTAATATTTTCTTAAAAATGTGATGTATCTTTGAAATTATAGTTCTTTTTGTTGTTTTTCAAGATTATTTGTGGTTACAAGTAACTAAAAATGTTAAAATTAAAAAATATATATTATCTGGGATGCTTTGAGATACTAAGCCCCAAAGTTTGGTTATATAAACTAGTTGTTTTATTAATTTTTAAGCATGTTCTGTTCATATTTTAGCATTTTAAGTAGATTTTATGAATTCTGCATTTAAAAAGTATCATGAAAGTTTATTTGAGTATTCTTTCTCCTTTTATTAAGAATTTTTTTTTTCAAAATATTATAAAAACCAGATCATTTTGTGAAACTAATCTATATTAAAATTCAAATATCTTAGGAACGTTGCAACATTTTGGACTAAAAGTTTTTGTGTCAACTTTTCTTTGTAATATGAAACAGCCAAAGGAGTTTGAAGGAAATATGAGGACCTATGGTTCAAAACTTCCTAAATTTTGGTTGATTTGATGTGGAGTTAACCTGCTAGTTTCACACATGTAGAAATAAAATCAAATTTTACTTATTTACAATTCTACTTAAAGTGTTTTCTCTACAATGATGTTTTATCAGTTCTTTGTAATCTTAAAAAGTGTTTGTTATGTTATCTTAAGTCTGATTTAAAAGGATTATCTTTTCAATTTGTTCTATTTTATGTTAAAAAGTCAAGTTAATTAAAAAGGCGACTTGGGTCCCCAGTGTTGTCTTTTCTCCACAAAAGTTGTATATGAAGTTATTATTTAACATAATAAATTAATTGAAACATATTTTTAATGAAATATATAATTGATATAGTAAATAGTTCGAAATGTAATGTAATGATACAAATATCTAGAATCTTTTTAACTTCTAGTTTGCTTTTTAATTTCTAGTTTGCTATTGATCAGTTAAAACAAATAGATGGTTATATGAATTTATACTCAGTGTTAATAATTCCAATTGAAAGACTGCTGGTAATGTTTTTGTAGGTTTTAAATAGTGCATTATGCATCTAAGATCTTGTTTTGTATTGTATTTGTAATTTTAATTTGTAAGATAATAATTCTGGTTTTCATTTTTTAATTTTATCTTTCCATTACATATTAAATGTTATATATATATATATATATATATATATATATATATATATATATATATATATATATATATATATATATATATATATATATATATATATATAATTAATTTAATTAGCTCACACTACAAAGCATCCCACTAAGTACTGCAAAAGGATTAATCAAGCTTCTTTTAAAGTAATTATTTTCTTTTTTAAATCTGTTCATGATTCTTTCTTAAAAATATTTATAATTATGACTGACTTTGAGCTATTTATAAAAAAGTTGGTTAGGCAATAATTTTCCAAATCTTTCTGTTATATTGTTTTATTGAGTGGTTAATGCATCAACCAATCAAAATCATCAACTTTAAAAATAAACATTTCAGTTTTAATAATATTCATTTGTTAACTTTAAAGTTTAACAATCAATACAAATGCTTTGCTTCCTATAATTAGTTATTATTTTGTTTGGGTAAGAAAAATGAGGAACTTGAAAAGTTGCAAATTTAGAGAATTCCAAAACACTGGTATTAAAAAAAAAGATTTTTTTTAACAGAAAGATTATAACAACACCTACTAAAATTCCATCTAATGTAATGAGTGTACATCTAGTGTGGTGAGTGTCCATCTAGTGTAATGAGTGTATCAATGTTTGTGAAAAAGAAAAAGAAAACCTTATGTTGATGTGCCATAGGCTTGATCTTTGAAGCTGGAGCAGGTCCAATTACATTTACAATGTATTTTTGCAATTCTAGTTGTCTAAAAGGTGAGGTAATCATTAAAAAATCCAAATATAGCAACAATAAAATCATTCTGAAAAATTTTTAAATTAAAATATTTACAAATAGTAATAATTATAAACCTAAAATAATTACAAAGTATGAAGTGTATACTATCTGAATATTTATCTAATGTAAATACTTACTAAGTTTAAAAAATAAAAAATATAGTGTTAGCAATAAGACAAATAATTATGATGATGATGTTTATTTTTAAGATGTTGGTTTATTTGTGATGTAATTATTGTGAGGTGTCAGGAAAATTATTAATGAGAAACTATATTTGGCTGAAGATTTTTTTTGTTGTTAATTTTTTCAGCCTAATAGCTTATATTGTATGCATGACTGTTTTTTATATTCTAACTAATCAGCAATAGATTGAAAGCTGTATTGATTATCAGAAAGTCTGTATTGATTTTCAGAAAGTGTAAGGTTTCAGACTCATGATAATATCTAAGTGACTCATGATAATAATCTAAGTGATTACATAAAGCGCAAGTTTTACCAAATAGAAAAGGCTCAAGGAACTCAAGTCAGTCTAAGGTTAGTTTTGTAACGTACAATGATGGGTTAATCTGATATAAAAAAAGGACAAGATTGTTTGAAGAAAAATTTGTTGAGATCATTATGGCCTCAACTACCTATACTGAGAATGAAGAGAAACTGAGCTCAAGTAAGATTTAGATGGTTAACTTATAAATTGAGGAGTCAAGATAAATGATTTGAGTTTTCTGAAAAATCTAAATTATAAACAATATAAAAATTATAAACAATATAAAAGTTATAAACAATATAAAAATCTAAAAAATAAAGAAAGGTAAAAGTTTGAGCGCTAATGCTAGCAAAGACACTAACACTAGAAAAAAGTCATTCAGTATAATGAGCAAGTTACCAAAGGTAACAACAGGCAGATGGATACTGAAAACAGATTAGTCAATAAGATCAGAAACAGCATTAAAGCAGCATTAAAGAAAAATAATAAAGAACAAAGAAATAGTGCTAAATAAATGCACAACAAATTGACTATTGTCTTTGCATATTAGAGGATAAAGGCCATCAACACTGAAAACAGGAGGTTGTTCTAGTGAATTTGGCAAGAGGTAAGATTAAACAGATGCAAAATTACTACATAGAACAAAAGTATTTGTAAAAGATAAGTTAAAATAGTGCGACAAATGTTTTTTATTTTAGTGTTACTGTTAAATTTATTTTATTTATTTTATTATTATATTTACTTTTTTACAATTTAATAATTTTTTTATTCCAAGTTTATCATCATGGCAAAGTGATTTTGGGGATTCCAAAAATCAAGAAGAACCTGTAAATGATCAAGTAGCTAACCTAGTGTCTTCTGTGCTGCTTTATTCTCTATCTGACACCTTCAAATCAGAAATAGCAAGAAGCAACAAATTTGATAAAGATTTCCAACTTCTTTCTGAATCAATTAGTCTGCTCAGGATCAATAAATCACTTTGTTGTCATATAATAAAAAAATGGATTCAAATTATAAAAGGTTAATTTATAGAAAAATATTTTTTTTATTTTTAAAATTTTGAAATACAAATTGTTTTAAAACTTTTAAGTTAGGGTTAGCCATCATAACCTGTATTAGGTTATTCAGACTTTTGCTAGGTAATTTAAAAAAGCTTCAAATTGTAAACAATTTTTAAAGAATAACTAAGAAACAACTATTTTTTGAACTATTACTTGCTGTTGTTAAAAATAACTACTGCTATAGCAACCATTACTAATCTAAGAGGGCAATGAGTTTACTAATCTAAGAGGGCAAAAGCAATGTGTTTCCTAGTTTTTTCTTGAAATGATTATTTTTAGTTCATTTTATTTACTAAAATAGTTTATCATATATCATTTTATGTTGATTTTTTGAAGTTTTCAGTATGATTTAAAAGAGCTAAGAAGTTAGTTTTATTTTAATTTTAGTATTTTTAACTAAAGTAATTTTAGATGTTTAAAGTTTAAGTGTTTAAATTTTAATCTTCTATTAAAAAAAATTTCTTTACTTATGGTGTACTGTTGCTTAATTTTATGTGTAGTAAATTAAGTGTTAACATTGTAATTTTTTTGTTCTTTTAAGAATGTTAGTTTTTTTATGTAGTATATATAAAAGTTTACTAATGAAGTTTTATAGAGCATTTTTGATATTTGATGCTTTTGAATTATTTTTTTTTGGATAATGTGTATGAGACACAAAACATCACATAACAGTTTATGCAAAAATAATTATTCTAATCAAGCACATAAATATTAGATATTTATATCTAGTATTTATTTGTTTGATTAGGATAATTATCATATTTCGCCGATATTAGTTTTTTGGAGAAAAGATATTGGTGCATGATATTTTTTCATTAGAAATTTATCTTAAACACAAGATCGGGGTTGTGTGTGTGTGTTTTTTTTTATTTTTGTTTTTTTTATATTTAAGGGGAGGTGGTGGGGAGGGTTTAGTAGGGTTAGTGATTCATGTTTAAGGGGAGGTGGTGGGGAGGGTTTAGTAGGGTTAGTGATTCATGTTTCAACATTTGTTCTCATCCAACTTTAGCATTTATAAAATAGCATTAATAATGTCACATGATAATGAAACACCAATTATCAGTTCAAAAATAATGTATAATTAACAAAATAATATAAATATTATAACAATGTTATTGGAAATCAAATTTAAAATTGTTTATCAATATTGGGAACACAGAAATGTCAAATTTACTTCTTCTGCTATCTATTGCCTTATCTGACAGTGTGGGAAAAAAAACTAATTATTTGAAGTGTAATTTTTTTGATCATTTTAGTGAGTAATTTTTTTTTTAATTTGTCTCAACACTATTGATTAGATTACTGTGAATGAAGTACAATTATTGCCGAAAAGAAGATTCCTCATACTAAGAATTGCTGTTGAAAAAATTATAATAATACATCTTTATCTATTTAATACCTATTTAAATTAATTTATCCAATTTTAGGCAGGGTTTGCACTGAACCTGGAAAGCCTGAAAAATTTATCTGCTCTAGCTAGTTATGGCCAACCTGGAATATTCAGCTTAGGAGTTAGATAATGAGAGAAATGGGAATTCTGATTGAAAAGTTACAATTTAGGGTAAATGGTCCAGTGGTCGCCACCGTTTTCTAGTGGTCGCCAATTTTTGCTAAAAAAAACTTCTAATGCAAAATTTAATGGTTACAACTATAGTTTTTTCATCACTTATGAAATTAAAATAGATGTACATATATATACATGCACACACATATACATATACATAAATATTTTAAACAAAGATCATTACCTGAAGTTTGAATATTGGCTAATTTAAGGAAATAATAATACCCAAGGTAAATGCAAACACATAGTGCTTCAACTCTTTTGCATATTTATATAATATTTTTAAACACTAAATGTAAACAAACTATACTGAAAATGATATAATAAAGATAGAAGGTATCATATTTACACTTTATAACATTTTATATTAACTCCATAATATTTTCTAAGATAAATAGAGATTGTGCCTCTTTTTTAAAGATAAAGAATTACCGATAATGGCAGACACAAAGATTGCATGATATTTGCAATTTTTTTTGTTTTGTTTTCTTTACTAAAAAAAGAACACTTGAAAATTTTTAAGATATCAACAAGTATCAACAAATTAGCTAGGACCACATTTTTTTGAAATTCACCAAAAATCTAACTACATATAATATTAAAAAAAAGAGTTTTATAGTATAGAAGACATCATATATTTGCACCATAAAACTAATATTTTTTAAAAGATAGATAGATATTATATATCTTTAAAAAAAAAATTAAAAATAACAATAACATAAATATCACGTTACTTTTGCAAAAAATTTTAAAATAAAAATCACACACTCCACAAAAACTGTCAATTTATTTCTACTACGGAGTTTTTAAAGTTGGTTTATTACGATCAATTTTGAACTCAAATTCTAAGTTATCTTTTAAAACAAAAAATCAAGTAGTTTTGATTAATGGCTTTGCTAGACAAACCCTTTATTTATTGGTTTATTACAAAATAGTCATTAACAACCCGTTTCAGTGCAAAAGTGTCAAAAGGAAAAAATATTTTGTTGCAAATAATTTCTCCTTTGTTGCTTGAATAAAATTTCTATTAATTTAAACAATGGCAAAACTATATTATTTATTCCCTCACATTGACATTGCAAAAATTTTTCAAATGAGACCAAATAAAGTTAGACACAATATCACCCACAGCCTTGCACATAATATCAAAACTTTTTGGAAAATTTTTTACTTCAATGACATCAGTAAAGTATCCTGAGTTGGCATCTGTTGTTAGGTTGGTTCAGACTCATAAACTTCATGATTGACTGTTGATTGACTTCATGACTGTTGAACTTCATGATTTTAATGACTGTTGAGTCATGAAGCAGACTCAGCAGTCAGTTGAAACAAATTTATAAAAAATCATAAACAGGCATTGGTCAAAAAAGGGTTAATAAGGATATTATTACTAATTATCTACAAGTAATGTTGTTGAACATCCTCTTGTGCATTGTTTACTAACAATCTCAAGCCCCATACAGTCCAGATTTCATCAGAAGTTGTAAAAAAAGAAGGTCAAAAAACATGCAATGCAAGGTTTAGAATCTATAATCTCTAATATATCTTCCTACAAAAATTTCTGTTATACTAAAAAAAGAATTTGTCTTTCATGTGAAATGAGCTATAAAAGAAAACAGCATTTCTTGGATCAGCGAAGCAAATGCTTTAAAAAAAAAAAAATGATGAGAAAATATAAGCCGTTGCAAAATGGTAGTCGGTAAAATGCGAACTGCGAACTGGTAAAATGCGAACTTTTTTGCGAACCATGGTTCTATTGGTTGTTAATGATATAATACTTTATTTTCCGTTTGCCGTTAAATTGTTTATTTTCCAAAATATTTTAAGGACTACACGCAAAAGCATTTATTTAAAAAAACAAATTGAGTAAAACTAGTATGAAAAAAGAAAACTGCGAAAAAAACAGATACTTAAGATGAAAAAGTGAATAGTAAGAAAAATCTGTAAAAAATGTATAATGAAGAAATAGTTCTTTGTTTATACTTCTTCTACAGATTCATATATTATAACGAAGATTCATAAAAAAGGGATATGATATTAAAAAAAACAACATTCAAGGTACACCTTTTGTTACTATAAATATATATTCTACACTCTGTTTTGATAAGTAAATATAATTAGTTAAAAATATATTTTATATATTATACGTACTTTATTAATTATATTATATATATGTATTTATATAAACTATGTAAAAACTTTATTTATAGTTTTTGTTTACTTTTCTTTTGTTTAAAGTTGTTATCAACATGATCTATCTATATATGTGTGTGTAAATATATATATATATATATATATATATATATATATATATATATATATATATATATATATATATATATATATATCATGTTTTTTTTAAGGCATTAACTTTAGCTATCAAATCTTTTATTTCGTCTGGATTAGCATCTCCTGCTGGAATAACTTCAATATCAAGTGTTCTTGGTCTTTTTCTTCCTCCTGTTTTGTCAGATTTTTTTCTTGTATTTCGACGAAGTTGTGTTAGATTAACCTGTTTTTTTTTGTTGTTTGTAACAGATAGACCAATAGCCTGGCGTGCTGCCAATATATGATAACATCTACTTTCAGCTGGACATGAACATGTCTCTTTTGGAAACAGTTTTACTACACGTGGTTCTATAGATCCTTTTACAATAAAGGTCGCAAGTTTGGGGTCAAGAGCAATATGAGAATTTCTAATGATTTCATTGGCCCTTTCAACAGAAGTTATCATAGTTGTATCTTGTACTAACTCTAAACTTTTAGATGTATTATGCATAAATTGATTGTTGATGGTTTCCTTAATACGCTGAACAATTTGTTCTGGTGCTGTTGTATCTGGAATATGAAGATCACATTCTTCATAAGTACCTTTCAATTCAGCTCTTAATTCATATTGGCCAGTTCCTTTTGGAGCACGATAAATTTCCACCATACTATATTGTATAAGTCTATATAAGCTTAAAGCCATTGAATCTACATTAGCCTCTTTCCAGTCCTGTAGTCGCTTAATTACAGTATTAAATGCTTCTGATTGATTTGTTGTAATTTCATGAAAGTTAAACTGTTTAATTCTCCAAGATCCAAGTTTGTCTACTACACTATGAATTGTTTTGATATAGTACTCAGAAAAAGGCTGACTCCATGCTGATAATATTGTTATTAGTTTATCTTTATATGAAGATTCAGAATCAGAACGAAGAAGAGATTGAATACATTCAGTGTAATATGCTAATTCATCTTTTGTCTTCACTCCATGCAATTGTAACCATCGCTTACTGTCCTGCAAAACATGGTTCCAACAAAGAAAATGTGAAACTGATGGAAAACTTTCTTTGATGGCTTCTGTTATAGCTCGTTCTTGATCTGTGACAATAAAAACATTCTTTAAAGCAAGTTCTGGGCATACTAATTTCATATGTTGCCAAAATATGGAATGGGGCATTAGTGTTTTTCGCTCATGTATCATAAAAGCTAGTGGAATGATTGGACTTGGGTCAAACTCAGTTTCTCTAAATAGCAAAACAGAAAGATAGAAGTCGCCTAAAGAAAAAGTTGTATCATATGATAGTTGCTGAGGTAGTTGAGACAATTTCAGTACTTGCTGAAAAATTTGCAGTGTTTCATCTGAGTACATAACTACCACCAAATCAGGAAATGTTATTATATTATGAATAAAATTTGTATCATACGCTAATTCATGAAGATTGTATAAACTATCTCTAGATAAACGCTGCTGATTGCGTGTTGATTTTAAAGTATTACTGACTTGTTCCATGTTATGTGGAACTGCTGTTATATTTATATCAGCTGTATTTGATAATATTATGTCTTTGTATACTTTTTGGACAGAACCTGTACTTTCCTTAATTTGGTTTATAACACCTGGCTGTGTCCTGATAAAATCTCTATTACATCTAGTAGCATTTCCATGAGGAAACTGCACAGCCTTAGCTTCATCACCTATGTATGATATCAGAACTGAATTAGCATAATCAGCATGATAGTGTGCTCTACGTACAAACACATCACTTACTGTGTCTTGTGCAACAAGAATTCTAAAAGACTTCCTTTTAATTCCATTAATTGTCTTTGAACCCCCTTGCCTCCACCTGTAACCATCTGCACGCCAATTTTCTAAATAATATTTTATGTTATTGTGAATAATTTTCCTTGGTTTTTAATTTAAAAACAATTTAATCTTCAAACGATCCTTAATTCTTTTAAAATGTGAATAAATTGTATAAATTTTATATATATATATATATATATATATATATATATATATATATATATATATATTCACATATCTTACCTTTATCCTTGTCATGTCCACGAGAAAATGTAATTAGTACCAGCTTTTGGTTTGTACCGAACAGCGAATTCAGCGGGTAAAGATTTAAATAAATCTAATTCCATTATATTATTTAATAAAAGAAAGAATTGAATAGCAAACATTAAAATGTAATGTTTTGGTTCGCAAAAAAGTTCGCATTTTACCGGTTCGCAGTTCGCGGTTCGCAGTTCGCGGTTCGCAGTTCGCATTTTACCGATTACCTTGCAAAATTGAAAGGAACATTATTGCTAACGAATAAAGAAACAAAATTGATATGTTGCTATTGGCAACTTTGATATTAATACTTATGCAAATATGATTGGTTTAAAGTCTTAAATTATTTTTTGCTTAATAAAAGCTAATGGATAACATACAATTATGCAGGCTTCTTTTAATATGTTATATTTTTAATTATATAATATTTTTTGCCTAAAACCTAATGGATAGCATAGAATTATTCAGGCTTCTTTTAATTTTTTCATTCTAGAAGGGTTATGCACAAACTAATTTAAATGGTTGCAAAAGTTTTTTTTGTAATTATCATTTTTTTATTGTGATTTTAAGGAAGTTTTTTTCCTTTTTTTTTATTTTTCTGTATTTCAACTTTATCTTTGAAAACCAATTACCATAAAATATAAAATGAGAGTATGTTCGGACAAAACCAAAAAAATTTTGTTCATGAAGTGTTCTTGAATAAGTAAAATTTGAGTGGCCTCACCTGTTTCAACCTATTGAAACCTGTTGAACCTATTTCAGCTTCTGTTTAACTAGCAGCTGATAAAAATTCAGCAACTTAAATTGTTAAAATTTCTAATTATAAGAACTAGCAATTTAATTTGTCTGACTATAGATAATTACCATTTACTAGGTTTGTCTGACTATTGATAGATTATTGCATAAGATATCTATGAATATATATATTGAAATATATTTATGTTTTTGTGCAAATTTGCAATTACATATGATTTTTAAACTTTTATTTATTTTTCAGTTAACGAAAGACGCAAGATTTTTTAAAAAATAGTTTAGGTCATTTGCATAGTATTTCTTACAGTTGAACTATCTAAAATTTGTGTTTTTCTAAGTGGTCTTCTTTAGTAATAAGATCCATACTAATATGTAATCCAACTTTAATTAATAACTGAAATTTGTCAATTATACCATGTCCATTATAGCAGATTTCATAACCATTTTATAAAAACTATTAAAAATGTCAGAAATGGTCAGGGAAGATCATCTTGTTTTAAAAAAAGTCAGAAAGTTTCGTATAAAGAATCAGGTGCAAGCCCTGCTAAACTTTAAAAAGTCAAGGAGTTTCATATAAGGACTCAGGTACAAGCCCTACTAAATTTTAAAAAAAAACAGTTTATACAATAGTTGAATTTATTGCAAGTTGTAAAAAATTTAAACGTAATTTTTAAATACATTTAAAAATCGTTTCAGCGTTTAAAAAAGAAACAATAGATCTTTTTAATAGTAAGATTATTTTTTATTTTTTTCTTATAAAAATTAAATGTGTTATTTTAAATTTCTTTTAGAAATACTTTTAAAAATAGTTATTTAAAAAAAAAAAAGAATTAAAAATGGATAAAAAAATATTTTAATTGTGTTAAAAAAAAAACAACACATTTATGCATATTCAAATATTGTATTTAAAATGTGTATATAGTGTTTTTCTTTATTTTCAAAGATTAAACAAAATGTGTTGTGTTTGCAAAACAAACAACTGTGCCAAAAATTTCGGACAGATTTCATATATCTAACAATAGATGAATTGATATACGTTCATTCATTTCATTTCTAAATATGTAATTCTAAATATTTTCGGAAACCCAGGAAAAAAAGTTATATAGAATTTTCTATAAACTTTTGAAACATATGGCCTATAGAATTTCTATAGAACTTCTATAGAATTTTTATAAAATCTCAGTTAGTTTCTATAGAAATTTCTATAGATTTTTTTTTTCTATAGAAAAAAAGTTTCATAGCAATTTCTATAGAAATTAATAGACATTCTATAGAAATTCTATAGGAATTCTATAGAATTTCTATAGGTTATATGTTTCAAAAGTTTATGAAAATTTTATAGAATTTTTTTTCCTGAGAATGCCAAACACTGGTTGTCAAAGTTTTACTTTTTTTAAAAAAGTTTTATTTTTTGTTTTATTTTTTGTTTTACTTGCTAGGTCCGAGATTTTTGAAGCAAATATAAAATTTTGACCCGTGTATTAAAACTTTTTGACCCATGTGATACTACTTTTTGAACCATATTTTATTACTTTTTGAAATATGTTTTATTACTTTTTGAACCATGTTTTAACTGTGTTATTATGTTAGTAAAATTAACAAGATCAAAATTTGACGTTCATTTTATATTTTTGTCCTCGGATTTATTGTAAAAATCAAAATAAATGTAAAAACGGCAAAGCTGAAGAAAAGTGCAGAGCGAAGAACTATATTTTTATAGTTATTAAAATAAAAAAAATATATAATTTTGTATAATCAATACTAAAAATTATTTGTATGTTTATTTGTGAACCTAATTGCCAGTACACACATAGTGCTTTAAAGACGTCTAGATAATAAGCTTGTTATTACAAAAAAAAAATTTCCAAAGTAATACATTTATTGGGTTGAGCCTTATTGTTTTGTTTTTTTGTTTTTATTTTCATCCTTTATTAATTCTTTATTGTTGATGAAACAAGTATTACTGCATATTAAATGGTTTGTTGACGATACTTTTATTTCTAAAAGTTATTGAAACGGTCATTTTTGATCCAAGATTCAAAAAAAGGTTTGCTGAAGTTTTTTTTGTCACACCTTCCTCACCTAAATATAGTTCTGCATTTACAAATATCTAATACACAATAGAACTTTTTCTATATTATGTTTACAATTTGTGTTAACAGCTATTATGTTAATAAAAGTACTTTAAAACGAATTCAGCGTCGTTTGTCTGCACGAAATGATTTGTTTTAGGTTCTTAATAAAAGACTCGTTTTAAAATAAAATGTTATTTTTCTGTTACAAGAATTCGTTTTACGTAATTACTGAAATTCATATAATAATTTTTTTTCTAGACAATAAAACGAATCTGAAATGTGTTGAATCTATTATTGAAGTTCTCCTTTCTTTACTTGAAGAATCTAAGTTACGTGATGCAATGAGGGATTTAAAAACAGATTTTGTATCCGTTGATCGTTTTTATTATGAGGTTAGCTTATTTTATTACGATGCTAACTTCAACAGAAAACAAAATTTAACATTAAGAATGATTATATTTTATTTAGGTACCCGCATTATTGAAACCAACCAAGTTATTGCAGTTATTAGCGATGCATGTTTCTTTACTTTGACGATTCCAAACAAATCAAGCAAAAAAACCTAATGCTAATAATAAAATATTTTTTTAACTTCAGATTTGTATTTGTTGTTGGGAGTGGCAGTAGCAATAAGAACACATTTTATTTTTAAGTCAAATTCTTTTAGAATGACTAGTTTCATCTACGCAATTAGGAACAGTGGCATTGAAATTTAATTTAAGGTTTCCCTATGTCCCGGAAAAAATAAAAGTTTAATTAGTGCATTATAAAGATTAGTTATTAAAATTTTGTGTTTCTATAAAAAGAAAAAAAAAATTCATTGGATAACCTGAAGTTTTTCATAAGATTTGTGACGCATTAACTATCTTTAAAAATATATTTAAGTTATTTATAATTTTAAGAAAGTAATAAGCTTTTTCTAGCAAGAAACTTTTTAAAAACAGTTACAACATGTAAGAAAAGATTTTTTTGGTTGCATATATGAAGATTCGGAGCATTGTAATATGTAAAATTCAGTAAAAGCAAAAAAAAATTTATGACAATGATAAGATACTTAATAGTATGATAAGGTCATGAACGCACGCAATAAAGAACGCACGCAACCGTCGAAATAAAGATTTTTTGTTTTACTATTCAGTTCTTAGTAAAAGTACTAAATATAATTTTTATTAAGAGTATTTAATCTGTTGACATTAAATATACATAATATTTATGATTATTACCTTTGTCAACGTGGTGGGTTTAAAGACCATGCCTCTAGCTTACAAAACAACCCAGGAAAGAAAGTTCTATAGAATTATCTATAAACTTTTGGCCTATAAAAACTCTATAGAATTTCTATAGAATGTCTATTAATTTCTTTAGAAATTACTATATAACTTTTTTTCTATAGGAATTTTTATAAAAGTTAACAGAAATTCAATAGAATTCTATAGAATTTCTATAAGCCTTATGTTTCAAAAGTTTATAGAAAATCCTATAGAACTTTTTTTCCTGGAAAGCGCTCAATCATAACTGCAAAAAGTACCGGTTTTAACCACTTAGCAAAACATCTGTATTACCATAAAAATACCATAAAAAGTTTCTTTGAATTATCCAGGTCCTATTGTTTCTAAAACAACAAAAGTAGTGCCACTGAAAAAATATTAGCTCCGGCCGCAATAGCAAAAAACGGATGTGTGCTTTTCCTAGATAAATGCTCTTCCGTTGTGTTGATAATAACAACAACGTCAAAGTGTAACTTTAACTTGATTCTGTTAGAGATGCAATCTAGTTTTTAGGCCCGCGACTTTTTGAACCATATGTTGATGTTGAGTTCTTGATAAAAAATAACCAGAGTATTATTAATTTTAATAAAAGGATTTGAAATTAAAGATGCAATTTGGAATTAAAGCATTTGGAATTAAAAAAGCCAGATAAAGCATTAAATCTTGTATTTAAAATTAGATTTTTATGTGTTTAGCTTAAAACACGCGACTTTATTTTGTGAGGTTCTCCAATATCCTACTGGTGTTATCACAATGCACAGGGAAATAGCATTCGATGTAAAAGTTTCATTCTTCCTTCACCAATGTTGTTTTTTTTAAAAAAAAAGCAATGAACGCAAACTTTTTGATTCCGAATTCAATCAAATCACTATTTGCGTTTTTATTAATATTTAAGACCTTTTTTTTCTTTGTTAGATAATTGGTGTATATATCACTTATAACGCAACTCCTATTTTTAAATGCAATTTTAGCGCACAATTTTGTATAGTTTAATTGCATGTTGCATAACGCAGTAACAGATCGTATTACTTGTTGTGTATAAAAAAAACACGAGTAAAAATTACCTCATAATTTAAACATTTTTCCAAGTAATTTTACTTCTAAATATTTTTTGTATACTTCTTAATAATTTTTTACTTATTATTTGATTGTTTTAAGATTAACTTACTACAATCTAGATTTCCATCAATTTAAAAACATAGCTTGACACTATTAAAACTAGAATGGTTTCATAAATAGCGCAATATTTGAAAAGATAAATTTTGCAACTTTTGGCTGTTGGAGATAATATTTATGTTAAACTTTCGAAGAAATAGATGTTTTACTGCGCCAATTATTAAAAAAATATTAGAACAACATATATAGAAAAATATAAAAAATGTATATTTATTGATAATTTAAAATAGTTAATTATTTCAAATACAATTAAATCGTTCTAATTCTATTGAATATAAATACATTATTGGAGGTTATTTTAGTGTTAGGATTTGCGAAAAATTATTCGGAATGATTTGCAAGAGCTTTTTCTTTTTCTTCTAACTCATGTGAGACGTCTAAAAAAAAATTTAACAATTGTGAAAAAAAAAATTTCATCAAGTTTATTAGCTACAGATATATAAGTAGATATTTTTTTTTAAATTACTTTTAGTAGATTTATGAAAATTAAATTCAAAGTATTTTGAAACCTTCTCCGGCGGCTAATTTTTCTTGCAAAACTGCAATTTCGGCTTTTAATTCTTCAGCAGAGACTGGTGTCGAAACTTCATGTTCAGATTCCATTTTTTTTTTATTTCAGAGTTTTGGGAATGGATTTTTAGATTCTATAAAAAAGATGTAAACAATATCTTTAAAAAATGTTTATTTTAAAGTGGTTAAGAATATTAAACGTTATTAAATGTTGTATCGTAGGTTTATAATATTGACGGCTTAAAATATCTTTGGCTTATAATGAAAATCTCTAAAATTCTAAAATGGTTTAGAATAAGTTTTATATTCCCATCAAAGATTGCAAAAATTCATTACCATTAAGTTAAACTTACATAATAAATCCTATCAAAATCGCATTGCATTTTTTATAACAATCAGCTGTTATAAAAAATGTATTAACGAGACATCAGTATTAAATAGATTCTAAACAATTTAAACATTTTGTAACGTACAACTTTAAAGAGATTGTAAACAAAATTCAAACATAAACGCTTTTATGCCTTCGTTGAATTTTATGTATATATATATTAGTTAAATTTCAAACATCAATATTTAACAATAAGCTTACTTACATTGAGCAGATTGAATCTTTGTAATCTTGAAAGATAGTTTAAAACTTTTTTCAGCCGTATTTAAGGACATTTCAACAATCACGCTGTGATAAATAACAACTTGAAACACAGTAACTAATCCTTAATTTTCTTCCCTCTTCTTTACTGGCTAAGTATCTTTTATCTTTTTCCCTGCTGTTAAAGATAAACAAAATAACAAATTGTTATTTTGAGAGCGAGAAAAAAAGCGAGCAATTAAAAATGAAAACTGTGCACGTCTTAACTATCTATCAACTGCATTTGTTTGTTTCAGTCATTTACTTCCTATTGCACAGGATTTTCAACATGAATTAGCAAGAAATGTCTGCGTGTTTTAGAGAAAACATTTTCTAGACTGAATTAAAACAAAACAAAAGTATTAACTCAATAAATGAAACTGTCCTTTATATTGTTCTCCCAAACTGTTTACTCGTTACTTATTCAAATTTTACCTAGTTATCATTATATTTAGTATATTGTGTTGAATTATATTTAGCACCTGTTTTTTTATCTAAATTATATATATATATATATATATATATATATATATATATATATATATATATATATATATATATATATATATATATATATATATATATATATATATATATATACATTTTTTTTATTTAGGTGCCCCAAGAGGTCCTTTCGATCTTATCACAGAGCACCGCGGATGAGCATTTAATCGGGAGTTCACGCCTCCTTCCTAACCAATGTCGCAAAACTTGCCCAGAGGTGGGGTATATATACATTTACAGTGCGGTGACTAGTGGGTCTATGGCCTCCCTGCAAAAAAAAAACTGTCATTAGGACCCCAATTTCTAAAAACATTTGTCCCTAGGTATTACTTAACAAAAATAAAAAAAGTATATTTTTAAATATAATAAGTAAGACATATTGAGTAATATTTTTTTACTCAATATGTCTTAGTTAATATATTTGTATATAAAGTAAAATATGGAGAAATAGTGAAAATATACCAGTAACATATTTATAAGTCTATATTTCACATATTATTAGCACTGTTTTAAAATATAAATTTTAAAAAGATAAGTCGCAAGATGTATTTGAACTTTTAAGCGTATCGTAACTAAATAGCGTGAGCTTTGAATAGTCAATATAAAAATGATGAACTTTTTTTTCAGTTTACGATTTTAAAACCACTTTCTTGTTAAAAGAGACTAAATATTTTCTTGAAAGTTGTTATAAATTGTACTTAATTATCATCCCCTACCCATTCCCTTGGTATGCTGGCGTTTTCTACCCATAATTACGCTGATGGTTTTTAAAATCTAAAATGTATTGCAACTATAAAAAAAAAAAAAAATTGATATAAGGTTGTTTTATTTATATATATAATTATTATTTTTGTTTTGGCTTCGGCGATTAGTTTTTTTTTTTCGTTTAAATTTTCTATTGGATTTTTGTCTTTTATAATTTGTATTTTTTATCACAGTCTTAGATAAATATAAATATAAATGCCCTCAATATAAATGTATACCTATATTTATTTATGCTGAATGATTTATGCATATATATTTACGTGTATGTTTTCATAATATTTATATAATTTACATTATATTTACACATTATTTTACGCTTTCGCAAAAGATAAATATAAGTATTTTTGCCCCGAGTAAATTTTAGTGGTTGTGAGTTGCATCATTTTACCCTTTACCTTCTTCAGGAAATATTTTGATGATGAAATCTAACGCGAAGTTGCGTAACGTGACGTTTATTTTTGAAGCGTTTGCAAACAACTCAAGGTTATTAAATTACTGTTTTATTAATCAGAAAGTTGATGTTAAATCGTTATTGGGTTGGTTCTTAGCCATACTTAGTAAAGTTATTACTAAAACCACAACTAGACATTTAAATTATTCTTTATAACTCACAACTGGCAACTGATAACTAACAACTGATAACTTACATTAAAACATTTAAACTAATTTTTATAACTGATAACTGTGAAAAACTGCATTAAAATTAAATTTTATGAATTTAAAAAAACTTGGAAACTTAAAGAATAATAGACTAAACAAAACGACAAGAAATTTTCTTTTTTTTCTAATTAATACGTTTTATAAACTCTATTTAAAAAAGAATAAAATATAAAGTTATATTTTTCTCAATAAATTTTATTTTGGCTTCAACAAATACACTATGGTTATGTCTGATCTAGCTGCATCTCTAGTTAATGAAATAAAATCTTTTGGCAAAACGATGTTATTCTAAGTACTTTTATGACATTTTTTTCTGTAAAAACAAACCAATTTTTTTATCATTAGTTTATATTTTATTTTTAAATATAAACAACTGTAATTTAAAAATTTTGTGTTTGATATAAATAATCAAAATAAAACACGTCTTTATTATTACTTGATTTAATTTTTATTGAGGTGTTCTGGATATAATTTCCCCTTCTTCGATTGCAAAATGTTCTAAAGTTTTTTTAAATTGCATTTTTTTAATTATGTTGTTAAATATACAGCTCAACTGTATTTTTTTTCATGAAACCATTTGCTTTTATAATTTCCCATGTAACTCTTTTATAGTTAATTAATTAGTTATTAGTTTTGTGTTGTAATATAATATGGTATAAGGAGTATAACATAGTGAAACATTACGTAGCAAAAAATATTGCCAAAATGCGTTAAAAAATTTTTTAACGTGAAAACTTTGAACGAGATACGAGAGAACGAGATACGGAACTTAAAACTGAGTTTATCATAATAAAACTTTCAAGAATTAACTGTAGTTTTTTTTTGATGTTTTGTTTACTTAAACTTTGACATGGATACTTAAGATGTTGAGAAAAGTTTTTACCATTTTAGGTTATTTAACATTTTAACAAAAACAAGTAGATTAAATTAATATTTTTACTTTTTTTGGAAATTTTTCTGATCAAGAAACTGTCAAACAAAATCAAGAAACTATCAAAAAAAATTTATTTGTTTTAAGTTTTTGTTTTTTGTCAAAACAAATTTGCAAAAATCACAAAATTGTTCATTAAAAATTTTTTTTAAGAATATTCCTAGTGATGATTTTTAATCAATTTAACAATGGTAACTAACGATAGTAAAAATTGTAACTAACGGGTAAACTTTGTACCAGTTTTTATAACGTAACTATTAAAATATTATATTCTTAAAAGCCATTATCTGAGAAATGGCAAAATAAGCAAATTCTCGAAGTGATGTCTCAATTTGTCTTTGTTTTTAGATATTTTGTAGAAAATAATGAAATTAGTTTTTTTGAACATTCCTATTAATTAGGGAGATATTGGGTATGTCAGTTGCTACTTTGAAGAGTAATTTTAGCTACATGAATTTGAAAGACGCATTCCTTTTTTTACTTTTCTGCTACTCCGGGTAAATTTTGACAGTAAAAATAAAAATTCAATATGATTGCACTTTTTGTTGTCTAGAAATCATGGTTTAAAACTACAAAATTTAAAATTTTCCCTGTACTTTGAGCATTAATGTCTTCTAAAGCAATATCTTGAACATGAATTCCTTAAATGTTTTTAAAAGCCATCAAGACATATAAAGGCATACGTTGATTTATACAAAAAAATCAAATGCATGCAAAAGCCTGGGAAGCAGTAAAGTGCCAAAAATTGATTGTTGCGATTAATGCGTTTGTTAGGTTACCCATAACAGTAATAAAAAGCTTAAAGAAGTCCTAGAAGTAGTCTTACTTAGCCACATTTTAAATTTACAAAATACCATAGCAACGGTATAGCTATGCTTAGCTGCGACTACTTTACATCGTTAATAAGTAGTTTAATTAAAACTAAGATAAAATTTTTATAACGGGACTCTACAAAAGCGCTTATTAAAATTAGTTTTCCTACAAACAACGTCAAAAAATAGATACCAAAGGATAATTTTCCTTGGTTGACTACTCGAAACAGTTTTTTCCGGGTGCAGTAGAATATTTCATATGAGAAACATAAATATTATCATCATTGACCTAATGGCTGAGTTAAAAAAAAAATAATTTCTAATTTCTAAATAATTTGATTAATAAATTAATATTTATAGATCTTAATAAGAGAGATTTACTTATCAAAAATAAAATGACTAAGTGTTACAACGTCCAATATTTGACTTATTTCAGTATACCATTGCATATTATGATCAATAACAACCCAATCACCAATTTAAAAATCAGCGGCTAACTCCTTTGCTATCAACTAAACATCGTCGTTTAAATCATCATCATTATTTGATTTGCATGTCTCGCATTATCAGTTGTATCAATCCCGTCCTCAGTTAGATTGACCTCTTTACAACAATGCTTACGAGCTTTCCTGCTCTTTTTTGTTTACTTCATTTAAAAAATATACTCAAAGCATGAAGGAAATTTTTATAAAGTCACATTTTATATGATTTATATACATGTATATTTTCGTTATAAGTAAATATACAAATTAAAATACTTGCTTAGAGATAAATGATCGAACTTGTTCAGTTGTTACATATTCACTAGGCTTTAACTTTGCCCTGAGATGCTGGTGAACCTGCTTTGGATTCATTTTCTCTCCTCGTTTTTATCCAAAAACAAACATCTGCATTAACAATGTTTTTTTTCTTTAAAGAATATATGAACACTTTTATTTTTGGTGATGCCCATCAAGTGACGTTTGTTTAGTTTTCAATTATTTCTTTAATGGATAATAGCAGATAATCAGAAGAACTTAGGTTCGAGATTTACATTTTGTCGATATATAATAGTCTTGATGGGTCTACCATAAATTTCATTAAAGATTGAAAATTGTGGTTTCCTGATAGAATATGTTTTTCTAATGAACCATTATCAAAAAATGACTCAGCACAACCAAATTATGTACAAAACGTGAGAGTGTAAACACTTCTACAAATACAAACATTTTGTAAATTGTTGATTCAGCAGAATTTTTGCAAGTTGAACTAAAGAACTAACAATTTCAAATGAAGTATGAAATGTCACATTTGTATAGTTCCATTTTTTACA